CCTTAGCCCTCTGACCACCAAGTCAGTAAAGGTAACCCGAGTTGCCGGAGTTGAATGTCGCCTTGGTCGAAGTCCGTCTCTACCAAGACGCTCCCTTTTACCGAAGCCTACGGCATCCTTCAGCGCTCGGGGGTCCCATTCCTTTTTCCTTTATTTCCCAACGAACCCAAGTTGCCAGAGTCTGATATCGCCTTGGTTGAAGTCCGTCTTTTACAAGACATTCCCTTTAACTACAGATTACTTGATCCTTTGCGCTCGGGGGTCCCCTTTTTCCTTATCAATTTTCCTTTATTTCCCTATCCTAATTTCCTTTGATCTTGAGTTGGTCCCACTTTGTAGGATTGCGATCCGCAACGTGACGTCATTAGCCATCGGGCTTCTGTGTTGGTGCACCAGTGGTGCTTTTCTCAGTATTGGTTCCATCGGAATCTGGTTGCGACCGATCCATTGTTGGTACTTTGCCATCGGGCAGTACGACGGGCTAGCGCTGCAACGTTTTCTTCTTTCCCGACGGGCTAAGTTGCGACGTCCCCGTCGAAGACCTTATCAAGGGTATAAGGTGTACAAGGCGCTCTTCGAGCATTGGATTTACGACCCATCGGACCAGGTTTACCTAAACGCCCCTCCGAACTCGTCGAGCAGTCGCCTTTACAATTCTCTACCACCATTTACAGATCCCAGGCTGGGCCCTTCTCTTTGCCCCCCCCTATCAGGGATCCGAGCTACTGCGGGCTGCAAACCCGCTTAAAGAGGACAGGGAGCTTCGAACACTCCGTAGCGCTGTGCCGTTGGCAGTTGTTGTTTTTGTTGCTGTTGTTTGTGTTGGACCGTCGGACCTTGGTCTCCGCCTAACAGGCGCATTGCACTACAAAAGTGGTTTCCCGACCTAGAAATTGTTTTATCCACGACAAGGAAGTGGTCAGGGTAACGAACTCTTTTTTTATTTTCTTTTTGTTTGTAACTTTTTTGCTGCGTAGGTCCGCTCGTACCAGCAATGTCAACAAGCGCACCCGGGGACGTCGGTCCCGGGGCGAGTACAAGCGGATCGGCACGAGCGTCGAGGGTCCCGAGGGGTCCTCGCACCCGGAGCCAGGCCAATACGGCCACGGACCCCGGATATCAAGAATCCCCTACGGGGATAGCCGCCGACAAGACTGACCTCGACGAGAAGTTGGAAAAGATGAGCAGCGAAATTCGCGAAGAGGCGAAGAAAAATCTCGAGGCTGAATTAGCCCTCGTCCGGAAGCAACTGGAGTTGCAAGGATCCGAGTTCCACACCGTTTTGGGAGAGCTAATAGCTCGCGTGGATCTCGTCGAGAAGGAGCGAGGTGAGGTAACCGACGGTCTGCAGCCGGGGGTCCTACCCTCGTTGAAAATTTCGGTCAAGGACGCGAGGCGCGACGCGAATCAAGCCTTGGAGTCCTTAGGAAAATTTAGAATAAGCATCAATGACCGATTCGATCGCGCTGCGCAACTTCTCAAGGACCTTGAGCAGGCTGCGGATCAAGCTCTGCAAGGATCGGACGACGAGCCGCTCCCTTCAGGTAGAGAGGGCGACCGTCGGTCGAAGAAGGACAAGCCCGCCCGGCAGCGGAGTTCCAAGTCGAAGCCCTCGAAGAAGGACAAGCGACGTGCAAGCAAGGGTCACTGTAGTGACGATCCAGAAAATTGCGACTCACAGTCGGAGTCGCTTGGTCCCTCCGAAGATGGTAGCGGCGGTTCGTCGAACCATTCGGGCGATTCCGAACGCCGTTCAGAAGACGGAAACGAGATTTCGTCAAGCAAGAAAATTTTCTCCAGACGAGGCGGAGTCACTTCGTCCGCCTCGCGGAGAGACAAGGACGCGGAGCCCGAAGATGTCGCAACGCGGCGCGGGCCGCGATGGGAGGAGTTGTAGGAGCTGAATCCGACCAACTACCTCTTCAAGAAATTACTTTCGTACCGAACGTACCGCTTGCGGAACCCACCGACATATTTGTCAAGTTCCCGGCGGACCGCCGTGCGAAAAATCAGGAAAGATATTCCGCCTAAGGTGAAGAAGGACAACACGTTCACAGGTGAAGACGGGGTCCTTGTGTTGGATTTTTTTGGCGAAATTAGTTCAGGAGTTCGATACTCAAGAAATGAATGAGGGGCAAGCGATCCGCCTGTTCCCTGAATTTCTAAGCGGCATGGCCTTGAGACAGTACACTTCGGTGTCTCAGACGGCCAGGGCCCATCACGGAAAGATATCCGTTTGGCCGGAGGCCGTACAGTGGTTGTTGAGGAGTTTCGCAAGCGACGAGGCGATCCGTCAAGCTGTGCTCGCATTGCGAGAAGTTCAGCAAAGACCGTCTGAAGACGAGATGGAATTTTATATCCGTCTGACGGACGCAAGCAATTGATGTGGAAACGTATATTCGATGGAAGAACAAATGACGATGTTTATTGAAGGACTCGACTCGAGTATTAAGCCGATGGTATCCCAATACCGACAAGACAATTGGGACGTTTCGTTTTTGAGACTAGTTAATTACGCGAAGGCGCATGGCTCGGCGAGCCGCGCTAAGGACAAGAAGACCAAGAAGGTCACGATTCAGACGCCGTCGACGATCAGAGCGGGTAAGAAGCCGAGGGCTTCTTATCCCGGTCGCAAAAGTCACGCCGCCGTCCATTTAGTCGAGTGCATTTCAGCGTCAGATGAGCGCGGTGCGCATGGAGGTAGCGAAAATCACTACAAAGGAGCGTTAGTAGCCAAAGGCGAGTTCATTGAGCCATCGGAGGGCTACGGACACGAGGACTACGGGGACAGCGGGTCGTCAATTTTACCGACGCCTGCATACACGACGGAGTCGTTTTCAGAGCCCACGGATCCCGTGATGATGTTTCGGGGACGCGGCTACACGCCGGTGCCGCGCATTCCGATGGAAGACAAGGGTACGACGTTTCCAAGGCCAGGCTGGATGGGAAGGCCGCAACGCCAAGGAAGGCCGCCGGCCCGTGGAGGACCTAAGACGCCGTATCCCGTCAGGACGCACGGTCTGGTGTGCTATCATTGCTATGAAAAGGGCCACGCCGCGCCAACGTGCATTCTTTCCGTCTGGAAAATGCACCGAGTTTTGGAAACTTATGAGGCGTTGTCTCCGATGGAGAGGTTAGGGATATCATCGACGAGTTACCTGAAGGTCAAGAATTGGTTCGATTGGCAGACGGCGAGCACGCCGAGTGCTTCAACGCCGAGGTCGAACCAACCCTTCAGAGAGCCCACCGCGGGGCCCGCGCCGTCAGATGTGAGAAGGATCCCGCAGCGGCAGGAAAACTTGAGAGGGGAATCTCGCATGAGTCGCGAGAGGCACAGGGTCGACGTACTGTGCCCAGGGCTCAGCCCCGTTCCCCGTCTCTAAAGGAAAAATCAGGCCTCGAGGAGGAGGTTGTTGGATTGGTGGATAAGCCCAAAGGGCCAGCTCAAGTCAAGAAAATTTTGAGCCGAGCCCGAGATCATCCGCTGGAAGAAGTTCGAAGACCCTAGTACAGGGTTAAGCGAAGGGAATGTCCCGAGAAGATTTTGGTTCTTACGCGAAAAAATTACAAAGTGTACGCGGACATTGGACCAACAGTCGGATTGATGAGCCGGGTGTTGTCTGTATTAAACACCGGCGCGGGACCAAACCTTGTGCGAAAATCGGAACTCCCAGCTGGAATGGAATCTCTAGTGTCCTACGGACCGACCCAAGACGTTGACGACGCGAACAATAGGCCACTCCGGACTCTCGGCACAATTAGAATGCTTGTGAGGCTTGGAAAATTTGTGGCCGCAGCCGAGTTTATTGTATGCGAAAAACTAGCCGTCCCGCTAATTCTAGGCGCGGACTACTGTGACCGGTTTGTGGAAGCAATTTATCCAAGGAACAAAACGGTTGAGTTGGCGGATTTCTCGGAGGTTCCGATACTTAGACGGTTCTCGATGAGAAAAGGGAAGAAGAATCTCGTCCCGGAAGAGGACGAGAATGATAGAAAGATGGAGCGAATTTCCCCTAAGGTAAAAGTGGCAAGAGCCACAACTATCGAGCCAGGGACGGAACCCGTCGTGGAATTCACCTCGAAGAGGGCGGGCTTAGTTGTGGTTCAGCCGTACTCGTCGTTGTACGAAAGGCACGGGCTGACGTGTACAAATGGTGTTGTTCAGGTCGAGCCTGACCGGCCATTTCGTTTACTCGTTGCAAATTTTAGGACGTACCCTGTCAGGGTGCAAAAAGGCCAAGTGGTGGCAGATTTATTACCGCACCCGAGGGCCGCGCTTGAGAGCAAAACCACCATTGGTGAAGTTCTCGGAATTCAAGAAAAGGAAGACGGAAAATTTTCCTAATTCTACCAAGACGCCTACGGGCAAGGCAAGATGCGAACCGTCGGATCAAGATCGCGAGAACCAGCAAGGAGAACGGCAGGAAAGGCTCTCCGCGACGGCAACTACGAAGCCGAAGCGGCGGATTGAGCCTCCTCCGCCGGACGTGGAGAAACTCGACCTGAGCCACGTGCCGGACCGGCTGCGCCAGCGGTTCCGTGGAATGTTGAAGAAGTATTCAAGGATGTGGGATGGGACGCTTGGTGAAATTAATACCACAGTCCATCGGATCGAGTTGATCCCCGAGACTCGTCCCATCGCACAAGCCCCGTATCGGGCCGGGCCTAAAGCCCGCGAAGTAGAAGATGCAGAGGTGCAGAAGATGTTGCAGGCAGAATTGATAGAACCAGCGCAGTCAGAATGGGCGTCGCCCGTGTTGCTGGTGCCCAAGCCGGACGGGTCAATGCGTTTTTGCGTAGACTAACGCAGGTTGAACGCAGTGACAGTGAAGGACACGTACCCCTTACCGCGCATGGATGAGTGCCTGGACTCGCTTGGTGACACCAAGGTTTTCTCCGCGTTGGACGCGATCTCGGGATATTGGCAGATGCCTATCCCTGAGCGCGACCGCGACAAGACCGCATTTTCGTGTCACTCAGGACTGTATCGCTTCTCAAGAATGCCCTTCGGGCTAACTAACGCGCCAGCGACGTTTCAGAGAGCAATGGATATCCTGCTCTCTCCGTTCCGTTAGAAATGCTGTTTGGTGTATCTGGATGACATAGTCATTTATAGCAAGTCGTGGGAGGAGCACATCGTGCACGTGGATGAAATACTTTCTGTATTGGAGAAGGCAGGTGTGAAGCTCAAGCTTCGCAAGTGTGAATTTTTCGTCGAAAAGATCAAGTACCTGGGCCATGTCGTTCGGCCAGGTACATTGGAAGTGGACGCTGCGCGAACCGTCGCATTGGAACAAGTGCCGTACCCTCAAACGCAGACCCAGCTCAGGAGCTTCTTGGAACTTTGTGGTGTCTACCGCAGATTCGTTCCGCATTATGCGAAAATCGCGCATCCGCTCAATCAACTGTTGAAGAAGGGACAACCGGTCCAGTTGGAAGGATTCGACGAACCGTGCAAGAAAGCTTTTCATAAGCTCAAGGACGCCATCTTGGCACCGCCGGTGTTGGCGCTGCCGAAGAAGGACCTACCGTACTCGGTAGATACCGATGCAAGCGACTACCAAATAAGCGCTGCACTATTTCAAACACACTCGGATGCGCAACGCAAACCCATCGGGTTCTTTTCGAGAACGTTAACCGCAGCCGAGAGAAACTATTCTGTATCAGAAAAAGAATGCCTAGCCGTAATTTGGGCCGTACAGACTTTAAGACCATATCTATATGGCGAGCACTTCATTGTGCATACCGGCCATGCCTCATTGAGGTGGTTGATGAACGTAACTGACCCCAGCGGGAGATTAATCCGATGGAGGCTCCGCCTCTCGGAATTCGATTTCGAAATCAAGTACAAGAAGGGCAAGGCGAACAGTCAAGCTGATGCCCTGTCAAGATTACGGACCGCAGGAGAAACCGTCGAAGAAATCGACGACGAAATCCCATGCTTTATGGCCGAACCGGCTGAGGGTACAGTGGAGAACGAAGAAAGTTTTGACGCGATAGACGACATCCTCGCTCTTGAGGGGGGGACCGCCCCTGATCGCCTCGATCAATTCCAAGCTGTCACTCCGGAGGAGCTCATTCGCGAGCAAGCCGTCGACCCCTTCTGCAATCGCATCAAGGAAGAAATGGACGCCGGAAAGGTGAGAACATTCAGCATGAAGACCGAGGAACTCGAAGGAACTCTATGCCGTACCGCGGCAGAGTTTGTACAAGTGGTAATACCACAATCGTTAAGGGACCGCGTCCTAGGGTTGAGCCACTACGCAAAATTGGCAGGCCACCCGGGAGGCAGGAAACTTTACAAGACTTTGAGAAGATATTTTTATTGGCCTACGATGGCCTCAGACTGCTATGCAGTCGCGAAGAATTGCGCCGCATGTGCGCGGGAGAGGGTGAAGTTAAGAAGAACACGAAGGAAATGAAGCTGCTCACGCCCAAAGCTCCGCTGGAGTTTGTCGCCATCGACATCCTCGGCGAGCTAATTACAACTAAACGAGGAAATCAGTACATTCTCGTGATCAGCGATCGATACTCGAAACTGGTACGAACCGTACCGTTGAAGAAGATATCAGCTGCGCACATCGCACAAGCCTTCGTTCACTATTGGGTATTCGTGTACGGACCGCCGGTCAAGCTGCTGTCCGACATTGGAACACAGTTCACGACCCGGTTCTTTCAGAATGTCTGCCGAATTCTCGGCATACGCAATGTGTTCACGACCACGTACCACCCGCAAGCCAGCGGCCAAGTTGAGAGGTTTAACCACACGCTGACTTCTGCGTTGCAAAAATACGTTGGAGAGCATCCCAAGGACTGGGACCTATTTAGCGACGCTGTGACGTTGGCATACAACACGCAAGTTCATCGAACTACGAATATGGCGCCCTTCGAGCTGGTGTTAGCTCGGGCGCCGAGAAGCATTGCGTTACAAGCACAGCCAAGTTTAGAAGGATTTAGCTCGAATCGAGCGTACTACCTGAAATGGCAGTCGTGGTTGGAAAGCCTGATGAAAGGCGCTGATAGGAGTTTGCGAAAGGAACAAGCCCGGTACAAGCGAAATTTCGACGCACGCCTTTGCAAGCCGCAATATGAGATCCCGCCGTGGTCCTACGTGTTCCTTCGGAAGGAGCAGGGCACGGCTAGCGAACCGAAACACAAGCTGGCACAAGTCGCCACAGGACCTTATCATGTCCAAAGATCGGATCAACATATGGTAGTCATTGCCATTGGCGATCAGGAGGAAAGCGTATTGCGAGACAGGGTGGAGTTAGCCCCAAGCCCGATGGACTATGCGCCGATAACTGGCCTACGGCAAGCGCTACAGTTCCTGGGAGAGCCGAAGCTAAACGAAGAAGGAGAGGTAATGGAGGACGAGGAACGTCCTCACACCCGTGCGACTACAACGGGGGACCACGATAATTTAGTTGGTCGAACGCCGACAACGGAGACACCTCCAGACCTACGCGAGTTCGGAAAGTCCAGAGAAGAGGATGAGTTGGAAGATCTTCGGAAGGGGGAAGGACAGTTGGACACGCAGGAAGAAGAAACCGAGAGTCAGGAGTATGTGATCGACAAGATCGTGGACCACAGCTACGACGAGGAGAAATTAATTCTCAAAGTGAGGTGGTAGGGGTATACCATCGAGGATGCAACGTGGGAACCTATTGAGCAGATCCCCCGCAGCGCGGTAGTCACATATTTCCGAAGGAAAAGGCTACCCTTACCCACGCAAGCGTCGCACGCACAACCGGGATAGCCATCGTAAATAGAATTAGTAGGTTACAGACAACAGAGAGATCAGAACTTCGAGAAAGGGACACATCTACGGGGTTCGCAGATAAGGAGTTTGAAGGAAAGGAGAGCAAGGCAGAGAAGCGAGACTGTATCCTTGGATGAGGCATTGAGCCTCTCGGAAAACACACACGCTTCATCACGGCTTGCACGAGAAATGACGTTTCGAACGGACGGTCCGCCCACGTATGGGGGATGATGAAATCAAATTATATATACATATGTAAGCGTGTCGACAACAACCCGCTGAACAGGCGACACAAGTGAGAAGTCGATTCCAGCCATGCTGTGAAATTATAATCAAAAAGCAGGAAAAATTACGGCAGCTGCAGTACGCACGATAAGTGGTGATCGTTTGCCACAGTCGGCGGCATAACTATTCTAAGTCGCCCCGCAGCCAAGCCCCACCCGACCTCACACGAAGCCGATCGTCACACTCACTGCTAACACACTGCCCATGCTCGCCGAGCACGAAGACTCGTCCAAAGGGACCACCCTCAGAAGAGCGCGGTTACGAATTCACCCGCGGTGACCGACGTCGACGCTCACAATCGGTCCTATTATCTTTTTTCCAGGACGGCCTAATTAGCACTTACCCATCATGATTTCTCTTCAACTCTGTCGTTTCTTTGTTTCTTTGTTTTATTCACTTTCCTCTTTTCTGTTTTGTTATTGTTCTGTTCCAGTTACTATATTTTCTGTGTCGTCAAAGAGACGACCCCGCACTGCGGGGGTCGATCAGAAGAACCTACAAGAACTAAGAAGGAGGCTATTGTCACGCCAATGAGAAGGGGAACCCTACAGTAGACCCAAGATTCGAAACAAGGCGTTCCATTGAGAACGAAGAAAAAGCCCCTTCGCCCCGTGGGGATGCGCGCAATGAGGCGCGAAGGACGAGCGAGGGTCGTACGAGACCTGATGAGCACCAAGCAGACAGTATAGTTCGTGTCGCGAAAGGATACGTCGGAAACCCTGAAGGATGCCCTCCCACCTTGTACATGAATTTACTTTCGTGGCGACTCTCTTCACTTCTTTACTTTTTTCCTTAACGGTGCAGAAGGCACTGACGAGGGCCTGGTGCAAGTTTCATTGAGACCCTCGATATTGGCTTGAAAAAAGCGTACCGACACAGCCCCTATTGGTTCTATTATTTTTTCTGTCCTCGCATCTCCCCTATGTCACCAGGGGATCGAACGCAAGTGCGTCTGCGCGGGATCTCAATGGGAAAATTATGACAATCCTTAACGAAAGCTTATGCACTCTGCTTCCGTGACGGTCCCCAGAGGAGCACTCCTCACCGGAATCATGGACCCCATTGGCCATACACGCCCTCTGGCCTATGCAAAAAGAGGGACACGCGCTGTGTAGTGAGTACGTACTTGACAGATCGTATCAACTGAGGATATGAAGGGAACCGTAGGAAGTCACGGGAAGGAGGGCTTGGATGAAGACCCCAGGAAGGAGGTCGACGCACCGTCGGTAACAAGAATCAATTCTGGAACCTCACACTCGAGAAAAGAACGCCAGACAAATGATGATGAAATGAGAAGTGAAACGCTACTTTGACTTGGTACCGAGAGCGCGCGACATGCCAAAGCACGAGAAAGGAGGTGCGAAGCACCATTCGAAAATATTAACAAGAATTACGGAAATCATGGTCGCGGCGAGATATCATGCCTGTTTGTTGGCACAAGTCACAACCGCCGGTTCCCCGACACACCACAGCCCCCAAAAGGGGAAGAGCTCGACAAAGACCCCTCCCCTTTTCTTTTTTTCTCTAGCTCACCTGGCACTCGCCACTCTTGTGAGCGCTTATTTATGAGGATCACGGACGTACTCCGAGGAGAAGGACGTCCACAGAAAAGAAAGGACGAGGTCCTGGCCCAGCGCCTTTCAGGAAGGGCTTACGAGCGAGTGCGCGTGCGCGCTGTTGCGCATAATGAAGGCGCTGCCTTCTTCTCCTTCTCCCTACCTTTTATTTTTTTTGATTGGTTGAGGGCATGACCTTACATTGGAGCTTCGCCAAATACTGGCAGAAGCAACGGGAAAACGAAGACAGCTAAGACCATAATTGCTACCGGAGGGAACGGTTTCATAGCTGTACCAACGATCCAGGGATCAACCAGGCCAAGGTGTCAGTGGCTCGTGAGATTGACAAGCGTCGATATTCGTCAACAACAGTCCAAGACAGCGACAGGAATGAGGGGATCATCCTTGAGTACCGGCATGACGACGTCACTCCACGTACAGGATTCTCCCTTGTCATACACCACCAGATGGTTTAACTTCGCGACAGTTTGTACCGAGAACTACAGTCCTCGCCGAGGGCAGACGCGTTATGAGGCGATACCTGCCCCTATGCGCCTTTGTAAGTTGATGTAAGCATAGAGACGCTGACCGGAGCGTAGAACCACCCCGGTCGCGAGGGGGGAAAGCGAATCGACGAGAGAACCTGCATCGCGAAGCGGACACACTCGAGGTCGCGCACAGTAATAGCCCTCGAACCACGGGGATCGGGAGAAACTGAGTGGAAGAATGTTACGATACGGCAGGTGTGGAGAGGCGGAAGCCCACCGAGACAACCCCAGTGAGTTGGAAGAGGAACGAAAACGTGGAGATGAACGTGTCAAATATTTTTACGAAAGTCGCGTGACTTTTGAAGGCAATGATGGGCGAAATGGTCCTCTTATATTGTAGGGGTTGTGCAGTGGACCCCAATCGTGTTAATGGACGAAGCGGCCAAGCTGGACCGGAGGGTTCGAGCGTCTCGACGGCGACGACCAATACGTTATTTTATTTTGATGTCGCAACCCCCCTCGTCTTGTCGGATTTAATTGACAATAATCTTCCCCCTAAGGAGCCCCGAGAACGGATGGTAGGTGGTCTTGATGACGTTTTCGAGGATGCCCGATGTGCGAGAAAAGAGGAGGTAAGTGAGAAATTTGAAGAGGTAAAAAGGGAGAGACAAAAAGAGGAGGTAAACCACAAAAGAGGAGGAAAGGGAAGACGCATATCGAGGATGGGAAAAAGGGAATGCGCAGGAAATTGGGGAAAATTGAGAAATGAAGAGGAGGAAAGAAAAACGGACCACCTCAGAGATTCTAGGGGGGGACTGTATTTCCTTGAGGGGGAATCTCCAAACGGGCAACGGAGCAACTGAAGATGCGATCATTGACGACGTCTCGTGGATGGCTGAACAAAAAGGGGGGAGGGCGACTAGAAAAATTGTCTGGGACCGCCACGTCCCCGCCTACGGCAAGAAGAGGGCAAACGAAAGGAGGGAGTCGGAGATGCCGTAAACACGCATGTTGCCGCTCCCGTTAAGCACAGTCAGGGCGTAGGAAAAGAGGGAGGGAAATGGTCAAGGATAAAGAGGAGGAATTGAAGAGAAGGAAACATAGGGGAATTGTAGTATAACACCCCCCAACGGAGAGGGGTGTATACTTAGCTCGACGTAGACCCCGTACGAGGGGCGAGAAGACGGGGAGAACACACAGCTAACCGGACAGGGCAGCGGGCCCTGGTAGCGTGGTAGAGCGGGACGGTCGGGGACGAGCGTACGCGCGGGCCGATCTACGCCTCGACGCCCCGGAGAAGCGCTGGGTAACGTACCAGCGCTGACGGGCGGAGGCGGGTCTAGGCTCGCTCGCGTACGCGGTTGTCCTCTACCCGCTTTGTCCCGGTTAACGCGCGCGAAGGCGGATCGCGCGAGTTCGTTAAGCTGGAAGACGGACCTAGGCGGTAGGTCGTGGACAAGTCCGTGCTTGTCCCCCTTCGCCGCCGCCGGTCGCGCTCGTATTTAATGCATACAATGCGTCTATCATAATACTACAGTACTGGTATGCTGTAGTAACTTACTGTAGCGCGGGTCGTCCCGCGCTGCAATGCTGTCAGCCGTCGGGGCTGACAGCACACGTGTGAGACGCGTACTGTGCGCGCGGTGGTACGCGCCTCCTACACGTGTACGCGTGTGGTCCCGCGTCCTCCGTACACGTGGGGGTACACGTGTGCGCCGGTGTGGTTCGTATTGATCTGATCTAAATCTAATCGCGAACCGCCGTTATGCCATGCGGCCCCCTCCTCAAGAGTGAACGTCCGCGTTCACCCTTGAGGAGTGAGAGAGCCATGTCCGACCCGGTCGCTTCCCGAGCCTTAGTCTTGTCCCCCCTTGATCCGGCGTTGTCTTTGGCGCCGTCCACCAATCGAACTTGTCCCCCTTACGTCCCCGCCGTACTCCGTGCCCCCTGGTTTTCCATCCTCATCCACCTCTCCTCACCCGCCGCCGCGGGTGTTCCCCGTCGTTGCCACTCACGCGCTGCTCACCGCGTCTTCGTCCTCATGTCGTCGCTTCCCGAGGCGCGTCTTTCGTCTGGGGGCCCTTCCGTCGGGCTCCCCGCGCTTCCGCCGTTCTCGGGGGCCTCCGTGCCCCCGCATGCAGTACCTCCCCTGGGCTCTTCTGGGGACTCCGTCGCGCATCCTTCTCGCGCAGGGGGATTTGTCCCACCCGCGGCGCCCGCGCTGCCGCCCTTCCAGAAGAGTCGCGGCCCCTTGGGGTCCACCGGGAGTGTGGAATTTCGTCCCGCCTCGTCGGGGGGTGCGCTGCCCCAAGGGGGCGACGTCGAACGCAGGAAGGTCGGAGAGGTTCCTCCTGACCACATGTCCGACGCGCCGCGTATGAGCGCGCCTTACCAGCCGCGCCCCGGGTCGTATGGGGCATGGGGGAGCTGCCGGCAGCCAGGCCTCCTGCCTCCGAAGACCCGAGGTAATCTCGACGCGGGGGCGGAGTTGGCCGACGACACCACCCAGTGGTTTGGCACCGCCCTGGCCCGCTCGATGCCG